ACTCGGTCGGGTATGAGCAAAAAGAAAAGGGACCGGGCACTACTCGATCGAGGGAGCATTCAAAATTTGAAAAATAAGCAATACCCGACCGGGTATCACTATACACCCGGTCGAGTATCGCTAGAAATGCTAAAATTGAAGGGGACTGATTCCCACACTCGACCGAGTACACGCTTCAAAAATGAAAAAAAAAGCACATACCCGATCGAGTATGGAGGAATACTCGACCGGGTACAGGAGACAGGCTGCTCAAAAAGTTCATTTTCTAAGCATACTCGACCGGGTAACCCCACCATACCCGATCGAGTACAGGAGGCAGGCCGCTCAAAAACTTCACTTTCCAGCCATACCCGACCGAGTACCAGCACATACTCGATCGGGTATACGGGTCTTATAACCCCAAATCAGCCCCAAAACACTTCATCTTCCCCAAATTCCCAACCCCATCTCGAACAAAAAACGCCCAAACCCCATTTTTACACCTTCTCTCTACCATATCTCTTCCAAATCTTCACCAAATCCACCCATTCCAACGCCAAAACACTCCCCTCATCCTCCTCTACACATTCATACCCAACAATCCCATTCTCCCCCAACTTTCAGAGGTCCAAAAAACCCTACCCCCACCATTCCAATTTCGGTTTTCAAAGGCCAAAATCACTTCAAATGGCTCCAAGGAAAGAGAAAGGGCAGAGCTCAAGCACTAGGACAATCATCCCGGGCTACGAGGACATCCTTTTCGTGGACAACGAACAACGCACACGCTTCTTGTCCACAATTGAAAGGCAAGTCAAACCTTCCCGCTTTTTATGCCTTGATGCTCTAAAGGAATTAGGAGTATACACAATAATGAAGAAATTTTTTCATGAGTTGCATATGGATAAAATTTTCAAAATGAAATACAACTCCAATGAAAAAATTATCTATGAATTCCTAAGCTCGGTGCACTTTGAGAACAATGAGGAGGACTTTAGAGATGATAAACTCAGGTTTCGATTGTTTAATCACAATCACACCATCACGAAACTTGAGTTTGCCGAACACTTTGGTATTCCGGTCCCGTACCAAAAGTCTATATCCGACAATACCGCCTTCGGCCACACCCTATGGACCAAGATGACCGGGGAGACCAAATTTAGCTCCTCCCAACTATACATTAGTCATGTCCAACATCCAGTCCTACGCCTCTTTTTGAAATTCCTTGCCAACTCTTTTCTTGGACGTCCCAACAACCATCATACAAGGATGGGGGATGTATGCCTCATCTCGGTTGCCTTATTCCGTATCCACGTGGATTTCAACCTCTGTAATCTCATGTGGGCTCATCTAAAGAAGGAAAGTGTGGCAAAGGGTGCTATCGTAGTGGGAGGGGTGATTATGCACTTGGCCACAAAGTTCGGGTATACGGATGACTCTCCTATACCCGACTACTGTTTAATGAACATATCTTGGCTAGGCCACTCGGGCTGTACTTCTTTTTCACACACCGTTTATGGTGAAGAAAGGCCCAAAAATATGTACAACTGGCACATCCACCCCAAACCCCTCAAATACTTCCTCTTGCCCAACCCAGACCTCCCCCAACTCCACTTCAAAACAGGCAGGCCGGATCAACATTACCTCTTCCCAAACGCCCTCCCACCACATCTTCAAGAACCGGAACAGGAACTCCCCCAAAACCAACCCGATGACGAGCCCTACGAGCAACTCCATAGCCATCCAAACATGAGCCATGATTTCCCAGAACAAAGCCAAAACCCTCCACCACCCGACTTCTTTCAACAACTTCTGGAGGGTCAACAACAACTTCTTACGGGAATAGCTCAAATGGACAACCGGCTCAACCGATTAGAGGAAGAGCAAAGAGCCGGTTTTCAAAGATTGGAGGATGAGCAAAGGACCGGCTTTCAACGTTTGGAGGAGCTCCGGGAGGCCGATAGACACCGGTATGAGGAAGACCAACATAGGTTCTACGGGCCTATGTACTCGTTTATGGCACAGCAGGGATCCTTCCACACCATGGCGAACCCTCCTCCACCACCCTCATGGTATGACCCCACTCATTGGGGTAACTTTGGAAAATCTGGCTCCGGTGGTGGAGGGTACGACGGCGGAGATGGCGGGGACACTTACATGGGAGATGGTGGCCAAGGGAGCGGTTTTGGAGGGAGCTACTACGGAGGTGAAGGCGGGCACTAGGGACAGTGCGTGATTCAAGTGCGGGGGAGACACTCATGATGGTATGTAATTCTCATTTGTACCTAGCACTATGCATGTAATTCTTTTGAACTTTTACACTCAAAAAAAATGTACAAAAAAAAAATAAACAAAAGAAAATAAATGCTAGTTAGGTTGAAAACCCAACAAAATGGGCAATCTAAGCAAAAAAAAGGCTTATATAAAAAAATGAGTGAGTTGGAGAGAATGGAAAATGAAAAGAGGTGCTAGGATGAAAACCTGAAAAGGCTCCTAGGCAAAATGAGAGATATGAGAGAAATGTTTGTTCTTGCAGGCACTCATTGTATCCTTATGAAGAATATGAAGATTCAAGATAAAGAAGAAGAGAGGAGGAGAAAAGAAGACAACACTAGGAGGCCATTAAACCCAAGATGTTCTTTTGTGATTTGAGTTTAAAACTCATTTTTTGTAATCCTTGGTGGTCTTTGTGTTTGTATTATCTTTTTGTTGAACTGTGGAACTTTTGGACAAACATTGACACTTGTAAACATTTGATCTTACTCGAGACGAGTAAAGGTTTAAGTGTGGGGGAGTTGATACGTTCGTAATTTCCATTTCTATGTTTATGTTTTTAATTAGTTTTGCTTGACTTTTACTTTGGAAATTACACACTTTTGGTGTAATAGATTAGATTGTTAAATTCTTGTAAATAGGTTAGATTAGACATTTTCTGAGCTTAAGCAGGTTTTGGTCACCCAAAGTACAGTTGGTGAACCCAAAAAGTGAAGAGAAGGTACAAAAGTTCAAAGACAAAAGAAGATCCTGAATTTTGGTCTATACTCGGTCGAGTATTAGCTATACTCGATCGGGTATTAGGTTGGAACTTCAAATCGGATCAGATCCGAAGACAAAGGAACATGCAGGGAAGATTTTGGCCACGATTCTATGTCTATACCCGATCGGGTAGACCGACATACCCGATCGGGTATGCCTTTAAATTGCAAACGAAGATCGGTCGAGTATAGCCCGAATATCACTTTCTAAGCATACTCGACCGGGTATTCATATATACTCGATCGGGTATACACTTAGAAAATAGCCTGAAACCGGTCGAGTATGCCTCGAATCGGATGTTACACACATACTCGATCGGGTACCATGTATATACCCGATCGAGTACCCGAATCTCATCCCAAAAACCTATAAATACACCCCCTTTCCTTCACAAAAAGATATCCAATCCCTTTGTACATCTAAGCTCAGTATAGAATAGTTCTTTCTTTATATTTTTCATCATGTTTAGTCTCCAAATGAGGAGCTAAACTCTTCCATCTTGGTTTTGCTACTTTGAAGCTTAATGAATTTGTAAGTTGTGAGTTATTTTCTTTAATCTTCTTCCTTGAATATTAATTCTTTCTTTCAAAATACTATCTCTATATCAAAGTTGGGGAGTGTTACTAAGATGACAATTAGTTAACATCTTGACATTGATCATAGTAATAGCTATTTCTTCCTCTATGATTATATTGGGGAGTGTTGCTAAGATGACAATTAGTTAACATCTTGATATTAATCATAGTAGGATTCATATATTTTAATATTCTTCCTTGAGTATTGATTAATTCCTATTCATATTTCATGTTAATATCTTAAACATTACTTAAAGTATCAACTAGTATTGTTTCTCATATTAATTATTACTAGAATCAATCGGTTAATACGCTTGTTATTAATCCGGTTCTTTCAACGGTAGTAAACTTGGAATATTAATGCATGCATCTCATGGTTAATATGCCAAGGGGAATTAATTATATTGATTAAACCAATAAACCGCTTGTGTTGAGGTTATCAATCTCAAACGTTTTCATCTTAAGTTTATTGCTACTATCAAGTTAATATACGGCGCTTGTTCTATATTGACTCGATAGTAAGTTTTATTAATGAACGCATCTCGTTATTAATAACTACCCTCGATGAACTGGATATACTCCTCGATTGAGTATTCGAGAGGAAGATAGTTAAAGATATAACCGGGATCGACGAACATTTCATTAAGTGGATAAAAGCAAGACCAAGTCCCCATCTCATTGCATTAAACTCATATAGGTTGTTTATCTTAGTGTTGTTAAAACAAACAAATCTAAACCCCCCTTTTTTTTTACCACTATTATAAAAGAAAAGTATTCCTTTCCCTGTGTATACGAACCTTACTACACTATACTACGTATTTGTGTCGTATTGATTATTTATTTTGAGTGCACCTAACGACGAGTGCACGTCACCTACGTATTTTGATATTGTTTTACGTAAAGTTACATATTTTTACACGTAGAGTTACATATTTATATACACGAGTTGCATTTGGCCCGACTGAACGTGAGTTACATATTTTAACACGTAAAATTACATATTTTTACACGCAAATGTTAATATGTTAAAATTACATAGGCAATATTGGTCTCATTTGAAAGATCATGAAAAATAAAAAAAACTGATATAAATTTTATATAAATCGGATCAAAAATAAAAAAATTATTAATAACATTTTAAGAAAAGGAGAAATAAAAAATAACAAAGCCCACCCATGATGGTATATGGGCACTGTGGGACGGTTGCATCGTATAGTAACTAATGTGTATGTGATGAGAGGCAAAAACTCTTGGTAATGAGTGGCAAGTGGCAAAAAGAACCTGAAATTTGGTGCAAGAGACACGGAGAGTTGCTAGCTTTCTTAAAAAGTGGATCACCAACACTAGAGTTTGGACCAATATTAAGTATAAAAGGCCGGGCATGTAGCCAGTGCACTGTCATAACACAACGTACGCAATTGCATGCACTATTTCAAACAAACAATAATAAGAGACAACTCTCAAATAAAAAACATACAAGATCAGAACATCATCAGGTATGGGGATCCCTTCAAAGCAGCACATTAGTGTAACTCTTCTAGTTTCATTGATGATCTTCAGCCTTTCATCAGCCGAAGATGTTACATCGTCCATACTCAAGCCGATGGCGCCGACACCGTCCAAGCCGCATCCACCAGCACCAGCACCAGCACCATCCAAGCCACATCCACCCGTGCCTGCGCCATCCATGCCGCCTCATTCACCGAAACCTCCAGCACCTACACCATCCAAACCAAGTTCACCCGCGCCTGAACCATCGAAGCCGAAGCACGCACCGAGACCGGGACCGCATCCACCCACACCCTCACCGAGGGCACCATTGCATCCACCTCCACCCGCACCAAAGACGGGACGAAGGCTTGCATCACTCCCACCAGCTCCAGCACCAAAGCCAGCGCCCAAACCCTCACCAAAGCCAGCACCAAAGGCCTCTCCGTTGCCACATTCATCTGAGCCGGCACCAAAAGCCGCACCCAAGCCACCATCACCAAAGTTTGGAAGAAGGCTTGCCTCATTGCTAACATCACCGATGCCCACACCCGAACCCTCGCCGATGCCATCACCCAAACCCTCACCGAAGCCCACACCGAAACCCTCACCGAAGCCCACACCGAAACCCTCACCGAAGCCCTCACCCAAACCCTCACCCCCATCACCAAGGGCACCATTGCATCCGCCCCCACCAGCACCGAAGCTTGGGCGGCGCAGGCTTGCATCATTGCCTCCACATTCATCGCCCAACCCGGCACCTAAGCCCTCTCCAAAAATGAAATAGAATAAGCTAATTAAGCTTGAATGCATTCGTACGTCTTAATAACATAAGATTTCAATAAAGAAACTCTGATGATTTGCTTCTGAGGTCATTATTCAACTCGCGCTACGCATGACGGGTTTGTATTGACGGAAATCTTTGAATTATAGTAAACTCTTACGTTCTCTATCTTATACATCGTTTCTTTGCTTTTAAACGCATAGATGCATACTGCATACATACACATAAAGTAATTAATTACTAGCATCGTGAACGTCTGATCTGATATGCGTTTAAGATCATTGTCAACCAGTAAAATTTGGTCAGATGCTAATTTCTACTCCATTTTATCAACCGGCACTGTATTGTGCATTCTATATGTAGTGCTACATGTAAACGACTTTTCATTAGAATAATAATAGAAATTGATTCTATAAGGCTAAGTATTTTATTGAGGAAATTACCAAAATACGGGATATTCCCGTCTGACAAGCCAAAATGCGGAACTTCCAATTTGGTTACTAAATTACGGAGGTCGGATTTGCCAAATCCGACTAGGAGAGGGCTTCCAAATTAGGGGTGAATACCCTGTCGGAATTGGGCAATCCGACAAGAGTATTCAAAAGTAATAATTCGTTGCTAACTTTCTACTAATAGATACATCCCTTGTCAGAACTACATAATCCGACTAGGAGATGTTTTTAAAATATCTTGCGTTTTTATGTATAAATAAAAAATATATACTTCGTATAAAATATTGGTATCATATTATGTTTTTTAATTGTTATTAATGTTTTTGTTTTAATATGGAAATTATTTATAAATTTATAAATATTGGATTCTTATTAGTACTCTACACGGATACATATTTTCTCACATTTGCAGATTCGTCATTTTACCATGAAGACATAGCGGGGGTATTAAGACATAAAATTTAATCAGATAAACTCAATCGGATAAATTTAATCAGATAAAATATAACCAGATAAAATTTAATCAGACAAAATCAATCAAATAAAATTTAATCAAATAAATTCCATCGGATAAAATTTCATCAAATAAATCCCATCGGATAAAATTTTATCAGATAAATATAATTAGATAAGTTTATGCAGAAGCAGGGCATTCACGATGTGTATCAGCTCGCCAACCAGGCGGGTTATGAGAACGTTAAAGAACGGCTTGAGCGGTTGGCCATGGATTTAGGTGATGAAGAGATGCTCCACCAGGGCGTCACCGTCATCGTCATCAACATCATCATCATCAACATCATCATCACCATCACCATCATCAACATCATCATATTAATCATCATAATAATAATCATCATAATAATAATAATCATCATCATCATTGTAACACCCCGACCCGTAGGGCCCGAGGCAGTTACTGATACGCACCTTTCGGATCTCTGGTACTGTGCTCCACACACCTTCCACAATCATAATATTCATCATCATCATCATCATCATATTCAACAACATCATAATAATAATCATCAACATCACTATCACCATCATCACCGACATCACCATCAACATTAGCATCACCATCATCATCAACATCAACATCATCACCATCACCATCAACAGCAACATCATCATCATCATAATCATCATCAGCGACATCATCATCACCATCACCATCATTATTGTAAGTTGATGCCTTAAAATCGTATTAAATTCTACTCCCTCCGTTCCATTAGAAGGTTCTCACTTTCCTTTTACTATGAGAACCTTCCAACGGAATGGAGGGAGTTTGAATTTATAAATTGAGTTCAATTTTGATTTAGAGTACAATTTCGAATTTAGTAATTTCGAACTAGTTACATTTGATCAACCACCGCCATATTATGATTTTTATCTGTACTCCACACAGTCGGATGATTTTGTTTCCTCATTTCTGGATTCGTCATTTTATCATGGATAGTAGATCGGCTACAACTGGTAGGCCACAGAGATCAAGATTTACTAATGAAATGGATCTGTGTGCTAGAAGGAGGGGATCTGAGTAATTCTGTTATGTATAATTTGTTCAATTTTTGTGTTGAATCGAATTACTAATGTAATATTGGTTCTTTTTTCCTATTGTGTATGAAGAAGTTGTTAAATATAATTAGATAAATTCAATCACATAAAATTTTATCAAATAAATATAATTACATACATTTAATCAGATTAATTTTATCACATAAATATAATCAAGTAGATTGAATACAATAAATTTTAATCAGAAAAATATAATCAGATTTATATAAATAGTTAAATTCAATCAGACAAATATAATCAGATTAATTTTATCAGATAAATTTAATCAGATAAAATTTTATCAGATAAAATAAATCAGGTAAAATTTTATCAGATAAAAACCAATATTTTGATATTGAAAAAATCAAAATTCATAAATTTCATTTTCAAATTCAGAAATACAATTAAACAAATCAATAAATTTATAAATCAAAACTGGACATTATTTAAAATAAAAAATATGGTCGGAAGAGAGAAATCCGACAGTGAACAAATAATGTTTTGAATAAATTAAGCACTCACTTAAACGGTGGCGTGAAAATGTTTTGAATTAATTAAGCACTCACCCTATTAAACAGCTGCCAGTTGAGAAAAAAATAACACAATTCCTGTCGGATTTTGGAAATCCGACCAAAGAGAATCCCCAGTCGGAACTCATCAATCCGACTACCGCTTTTCCCGTATTTTGGTCAATCACCCTATTTTATTTCCGAAGTATGACTTATTTATTCCTAATAAAAGAATGGAAGCATTCCCCTCGAATATAAGTAAAAACGTTTTGAATTTTCCAAATAGGTGTAATTACTGTCAATTTTGAAAAATATTGTTATGTTTTATGTTTAATTTAAAGTCTGTTTTGTCATAACATGACATTAGTTGCGTACTCCTATTTTAGAAATAAAAACATAACAATCTTATTTTAGAATTTCTGAACGTTTTCACTCGTATTTAGGGTAAATTTCCCCATCCAAAAGAATAAATTGATTAAAACTTCCCAAAACACAAGTGAATGAGTCATGTTTTATGAATAAAATAATGATAGTCCTATTTATAAACTCAAACATTTTTTATTCACATACTACATCAATCTGTTCTTTTTAAGTTGCAACATTAGTTGTTTTCTTATGAGGTCATTATTCACATTGTGCTACGGATGACGGGTTTGTATAAATGGAAAACTTTGAATTTATACTACCACCGTCCCAAATTGATTTTCAAAACTGACTTTTCTTGGCCGAACAGTTTCAATTTATTCACTTAATTCGGATGTCAATTTTTAATTATATTCTAATTTGGATTTTGCAACTTTGAAGAGTTTTTAATGTAGTTTCTGAATATGTAACTTTTAATTATTAAAAATTGATTTAATTATCAATATGAAGGATTTACCTTTAACATTGGTTAACGAAAAAGGTTGACTTTGGAAATGAATTTGAGACGTACTAAACTTTCACATTCTCTTAATTAGCTTATCGTTTCTTCGCTTTTAAACGCATTTATGCATACATGCATTTATACAGAGAAGTAATTAATAGCCAGCATTGTGGACTCTGATATGCATTTGAGATAAGTAGATCCTATGGTACCCATAAGTTATCATACATTTGTCCACATGGATTAATCAGAATGTTGAAGTTGAATTATTTAACTCTAAATTAAAAATGATATATATAATGATTTGGACCAATCATGTGAATGGTAGATCCGATACTTCATTTTTTAAATGGTACCTCAACCAGCTGTGTATTGTGCATTCTATATAGTGGTACATGTAAACGACTTTTCATTAGAAATTAGACTACTAGAAATTGCTCTAGAACCAAAACATACACACCAAAACATACACAAAGTTCACAAATAAGACTAAGTACTTCGTATATTTAATTTATTTCCGAAAATAGGACTTATTTAGTCCCAATAAAAGAATAAATGATTAAAACCCCAATAAATTCTTCAGATTCTAGAGGTATTCAATATAATTGGGGCTTTTAAAACATATATATGAGTTTATGTGTATTAAGATTTAGGCGAAATTAAATCTGGAATTAGGAAACTTTTTTAGCAACATTTCTAACCTGTTACGGAGTATGTTATTCATTTAATGAATGAGGAAATAATTAGAAATTATGGACTTTGAAATTCTTAATATTTTATTAAAAAGCATAAACTCTTAGGATGTTTTTACTTGGATTGGTTTCAGTTTCAGACAAGACCAAATCATATTATAACATGCCAGATCAGACATAAACAAACTATACTTGATCAGGCTTCGATAATAATAAACTACACGTACAAAAACTAGACATCTCCCTCACCAGACCATTTCAGGCCAGAGTTAAACATACATGACCAAATAATACTAGACCAAAAAAAATTCAGTCTTATTAAAAAAAATCCTTAATATCGAGTATACAGATATAGATTCTTCATCGTTTTCTCCTCTTCCATTCAAAGATTTCAAGCCAGGTCTTCTTTCATTAATTAATTGTATTTTGCCAAATTTACCTGACATGTAGAATATTAAAGTAAAAATTCTAAGATTGAGATTTATAGAGAGGATAGTATTTTGGAAACAATGACATATACGAGTACATATTAGTACACCAAAGATGTGGACATCAATATCATGAGACTCTTATATGGAAGAGAAAATTCCCTAAATAGGAGTAAAAAAGTTTTGAAATTCTAAAATAGTACTATCATGTTTTTTATTGCTTAAATAAGAGTAAATTTCTGTCAAGATTGACATTACTATGCTTTAAACATGACATTTTTTCCCAAATTTGGAAGATTACTCATATTCATGGAATAAAAAACATATACTCCTATTTTGGTATTTCAAAACGTTTTTGCTCCTGTTTAGAGCAATTTCTATATATGTAATGACTATATTCGTGACTTTTGTGACTTTCTTATCTATGTTTTTAAACTCACTAATATTTGGCTATTTATAGTACGATTATGTTCATTTTTATACTCAGTAACTTTTTTGACATTGTACCAGTGTACCACTATAAATAGTATTTTACTATTTATAGTACGATATAAATAGTATAATTTTTTAAAATTATATACAAATATAATAATTAAAAACATTGTCCAAAGTTTGTCTTGTATTATTTTAGAAAAACTTGTACCCACTATGTCTTGCACTAGCTTGTATTATTATTTGCATGCTATATGCTGCTTTACTTGTATATTTGCACGTATATGCAGTGCACTAGCTTGCTGCCTTACTCAAAATTGTAAAATACTTTTGCCTGCTATCTAATTCTAGCATGGTTTATAATTTATATTAATCTTATACGGAGTATTAAAATATTAAGCTACTTTAATTCTAGCATATATTACTTTAATTATATACTACGTATATGATACGAGTAATTCCTAATTGATTATAGGGAAATAGACCTTAATAGGATTAAAAGTGGAGCGGCGAATTTAAATAGGACTCAAAGTTTTTAAACTCCTAAATAGGACCAATTTTAAACTCTGAGACAAAAATACCCTTCCGTTTCCCAACAAATTCTGGTAAGACACCACCCATCCGCTTTTGCAAGTCTGGTACCGACGAGATTTAACAAACAAATTCAAAGGAGCAATTATTCTGGTTGGTCGCAACCCGCAGGTAAAATTATCTGCGATTCGCCGCTGGTTTCTGCCGGGTTATAGCGGTGAAAGTCATCACCGGAGCAATTGCCGACATCAGGCCGGCGAGTAGTCTCCTCCTCCGATCCTCCTCCCCTAGCCCCCCTCCTCCTCCACCTTTCTCCATCTCTTCCTCTTTGTTTGCGAATTTCTTCGGTGTCGTATGCCTGCTTTTATGAGCTCGTCTTAGTGCTAGTAGCACCGTAGAAATAAGAAAGGATTTCCTCATCAATAGAAATAAGAAAGGATTTCCGCACTAGTAGCACTGTAGCAGTCTTGAACTAGTTGCTTTTTGTTGTTGGCTTACATCTCAATTTTTTATTTTTTATTTGCAAATTTATTTAGTGCAAGTAATACAATTATTTTGTACGGAGATTGAAGATGCACCACAGCCATTGGTTTGGTTTGTCATATTTTGGAGATGTTCACATTGAATTAATTGGTCCGAGGAAGTAATAGGTCCTGCAATGGTTTTGCTATTTAATCCTGTCACTCTCAAAATAAAAAATTATGACAATGTCATAATCAATATCATTATTTTAGAATATTGTAATGTTAGAAATAATATCAACCACAATGTCATAAGAATATCAATATCAAGCACAGTAGCGGGCCGGTCCGATTCGGCTCGGCCCAGTCCATCCCTGAGAATGTCAATGATAATGTCATAAGAATGTCAATAAAAAACAATGTCATAAGAATGATAATGTCATAAGAATGTCACTAAAAACAATGTCAATAACAATGTCATAAGAATGTCAATGACAATCTCATAAGAATGTCAATGACAATGTCATAAGAATGTCAATAAAAAACAATGTCATAAGAATGATAATGTCATAAGAATGTTACTAAAAAACAATGTCAATAACAATGTCATAAGAATGTCAATAAAAATCAATGTCATAAGAATGTCAATAACAATGTCATAAGAATGTCAATGACAATAAAATACATTCCTTATTTCTTTGCTTTCATGACAGAAGGGTGGAAGGATACAAGGAAATCATATTTTTCTTTTGAATTCAAGAGACGCCCCTTTCAATGGTCTGAATATTATCGTGCAACTACTGTATTGTCCATTCCAAATTTGATGGGGTTAATCAAATACAAATCAAATGCAAATTTAGGGAATGTAAAAAACATAGAAAACGGATCTAGCATACAGAGAATAGAAGCATCAAAAGAAAATAAGGACACAAGCAGGATGAAATGTCATTGTATATAAACGATGACAATGTAATATAATGTTATTGTTTACAATTTTACAAGTTTACAATGTTACACTTTTTGTCAATCAAGAGAGAAGGTAATGGCCTTCTCTGGATATGAATGAATTAAATATCAACCAGCTTCAATGTAAATCTGTTTCATCCCCTTGTTAAACCACAGCTCAAGCCTTCTGTAGTAGATTTGATCTCAACAGAAAAGATAGAGACGCAACCATATACGGAGTATCTTGTAAAAGCCTGCATTTAAGTCTCCTTTAGCATTTGTTATAATTTGTGTTCCAGACTTCCAGCTGTCAAGCCATCCATTTCAGCCTCCTTTAGCAATTGATTAAAGTTAATCAAGAAATAATAATGAAAACGTAATTAACATATACGAGTACATTAAACAAACCAAAGCACTTACCGTACATTCATACCGTAAGAAATCAAAACGAAAAAGCTGAAACATGAGGAAGGAAGAAGAAGAAAGAAGAAGAAAAAGAGGAGGAGGAGGAGGAGGAAGGAGAGGAGAATAGAATGCACCAAGGCCTCCTGCTGCACCGCCGGACCGCTTCACTGCCCAGCCGCTGGACTGCTGCACCGCCGGACCGTCGAACTGCCGGGACACTGCAACACCTCATCTTCTCTGTCTTGCCACAACTACAATGCCACTATAGCTCAACTCCTCCATTAATTTGTACAGTGCTGGACCTTGAAGGCTTGAAGCTGCCCTGCGTAGCTATGGATGAAGGAGAGAGAGGTTTTGGCGAGGTTGTTAGGAAGAGATAAGCTTTGGCGTGAGAGAAAAACGTAAGTGTAGTTAATAGGGGCAATTTTGGAAACTTCTTAAAATTAGGTCCTATTTAGGAGTAAAAAAAGTCAAGCTCTTATTTAATTACATACCATAAGTTAAGCTCCTATTTAGCACCATTTCTCTTGATTATAATATATGCTTCTAAAACAAGAGATGAGAGAACGAGAAAGTTTACAACCAAGTATGATTCAAGAATTTCCTTTAATACAAGTATACAACCCCGCCACCATGGCGATCGAGGTAAATAATAACACCACAAGCAACTCACATTGAGTTTGCATTATTGCAATCTTAATTTATTTAGACGTATGGACATTCAATATTAAATAAGCGCATATATGATCTAGCTCCTCTTTGGAGTTGGCGGTTTGGGAGCTGGCTTAGGTGCCGGCTTGGGTGATGGATGTGGTGGCAATAATGCAAGCCTTCGTCCAAGCTTTGGTGTTGGCGGTGGGAGTTTTGGTGCTGGTGGGGGTGTATGCAACGGTGCCCTTGGTGAGGGTGCTGGTCGATGTGGTGCCAATTTCATTGTATGAGTTGGCTTGGATGGTGAAGGCGCCGGAGCTTTCGATGCATGTGTGGGTTTGGATGGTGCGGGCGCGGGAGATTTTGGTGTATGTGTTGGCTTGCATGGTGCGGGTGCGGGAGCTTTTGATGCGTGTGTGGGCTTGGATGGTGCGGGTGCAGGAGCTTTCGGTGAATGTGTTCGCTTGGATGGGGCTGGAGCGGGAGCTTTAGGTGTATGTGTTGGCTTGGATGGTGCGGGCGCGGGAGTTTTCGATGCATGTGTTGGCTTGGATGGTGCAGGTGCGGGAGCTTTCGATGCATGTGTTGGCTTAGATGGTGTGGGCGCGGGAGCTTTAGATGCGTGCGTTGGCTTAGAAGGTGCGGGTGCGGGAGCTTTCGATGCATGTGTGGGTTTAGACGGTGCTGGCGCTGGAGCTTTAGGTGCATGTGTCGGCTTGGATGGTGTTGGGGCGGGAGTTTTCGATGCATGTGCTGGCTTGGATGGTGCAGGCGCGGGTGCTTTTGATGCATGTGTCGGCTTGGATGGTGCAGGCGCGGGTGCTTTTGATGCATGTGTTGGTTTAGATGGTGCGGGCGCGGGAGCTTTTGGTGCGTGTGTGGGCTTGGATGGTGCGGGTGCGGGAGCTTTTGATGTGTGTGAGGGCTTAGAAGGTGCGGGCGCGGGAGCTTTCGATGCATGTGTTGGCTTACATGGTGCTGGCGCGGGAGCTTTAGGTGCATGTGTTGGCTTGGACGGAGCGGGCGCGGGAGCTTTTGATGCATGCGTCGGCTTAGAAGGTGCGGGTGCGGGTGCGGGAGGTTTCGATGAATGTGTGGGCTTGGATGGGGCTGGTGCAGGAGGATGCGGCGACTTCGGTGGAGGCGCCATTGGCTTCAGTGTGGATGATATAGCATCATCATCATAGGGCAGAAATTCAATTGAGGGATCTGCTGAGGAAAGAGTGAAGATCATCAATGACACTAGAAAAGTTACACAAATGTGGTGCTGCTTTAAAGGCCCCATGCTTAGCTTGCTCAACACCTGATGATGTTACTCTTTCTAATTACTTGAGAATTGTCTCTTGTTGTTTTTAGGATATATTGCATGCATGCAATGACTTTGTGCATATGATTGCACTGGCTGCATGTCATTTTATAGTAGTCGTTGGTCCTAGTTTGGTGCTGATGAGCATGACTGTGATCTACCTTTTATGAAGGTTGCCAAATCTCCGTTTCTCATGCACCAAAATTCAGGTTCTTTTTCCTACTTGCCTACCCATTCCAGGAGTCTTTGTTTCCCCACCGCAACCTTTATGGTTATGTACTACATATTTAGCTAGGTTCATATGTTCGTTTACTTTTGTCTATGCGAGTTGATTTCATTTTTTTTTTTTTTTACATGCTAAAAAGATAAAAGGTGAATACAGTATTTGATTGGTCGAGATCAATATTTCATCATTTATTTATATTCAAAGTATTCAATTACAATATTCTAATTGATCCGTGTAAACATGGTATGTATCATATGGAAATTACTCCAAATAGGACTAAAACATTGACAAAATCTCAAAATAGGTCTTGCTATGTTTCTTTTTGTGGAGGTATTGGCCCATAAAGCCTTGGCACTCCTCTCTTTTCTTGTTGGGCCTGTTTGCTTGCCTCTTGTCACCGACCCATGTGTTTCTCGCTAGCCCTGTTTCTCGAACCCTCTATTAGGGTTCCCTTGCAGCCCTTGGTACTTAAGTCCCTCTTCTTGCTCTTGAGCGAGGTGAGATCTACGGTTAGAGAGAGAGTGAGGTTAGAGAGAACGAGAGAGACTTTCTGTCTCTCCTCCTTCGGTTCTTCTGTGTTGTTTCTCTTTGAGCTTCCCCTTCTAACCATGGTGTGCGTTGAGATAGCTCGGCTGGCCTGAGTGTGACTGTCCCTTTTGGTGGTGCTTGATTGTGTGTTGTTTGAGTGTGGTCTGAGCTGGAGAGATGAAAAACTGACACTTTTTTCAAAATAGGACCATACTAGTCCTATTGGACGCATACCTATTTTTTCATTCCATTCTTATTTCTTACTCTTCCTTTAAATATGAGTTAAAAATAGTCAAAAGTCATAATTAAATGTTTAATTCATAATAAATTCGAAAAAATTTCAAAAAATAGTAGAAAAATAATTAAAAAATTTATAAATATTTAGAAAATAAAATATTAAAAAAAAATTATCATTATTTTTTAAAATTAATAAAAAATAGTAAAACTCCATAAAAAAAATAAAAAAATATGGATGTCTTTCCCACCGCCTGTACTACCTCCCTGCACCACCACCTCCGCCTGGTGAAAAAATGTCATTTTTCCTAAAAACTTTCATTTTTTTTTCTGAAAATGCCAAAAATGGTATATCTCTCTTTGAGAATGCCAACATTTTCATTGTTTTCTGCCATAAATATGGAATTCATAATGAATTTTGCATTTTTTCCCCTGGTGACTAGAGGTCGTGGTGCTCAGGCAGCAGAGGCGGTGGTGATTTTTTTTTAGTTTTTAATTTTTTAAATTTTTTTTCTTGATTGTTTTTTGAAAAAAAATTAAATTATTATTATCGAAATATTTTTATTAATTTTTAAATTTTTTTATTATTTTTTATTATTTTATTATGAATTAAAACATTTCAATAGCTATAAGGATATATTTGTCCAAGATACACATAAGTAGTCTTATGAAAACATAGTTTATTTTTTGATCTCATTTGTGCAAATTGAGTTACTTTTAGTCCTAATTTGATAATTAACTCATGTATCATACCATAAAATTTGTCAAAACATAATCCATATTTTTCCTTTGTGGCTTAGCTAGTATTCTAGTAATATTGTGGGGAGTTTAGATCTCACTCCATTTATTTTACTTTAGCTCATTTGGGTTTCATTGTCATTTGATTCGTAATTTTTTGACAGGAAGTTGAGTATCCCTAAAAGTGGGGGGATTATTTACAGTATATTGTTTCTAATGGGCAATCGTGTCAATTAATTTTATGTGTTCGGAATTTCTAGAGTTTTTTTCTTCTTTTTTTTTGGGAAAAGTATTTCTAGAGAATACAATTTTAAAATGAATGTAAAATATAATACGAGTATGCGAACTAATGAAGCGTACAAATGTACCAAACCCGTGCAATATGGCATCCCGAATCTGACCAATCTTAGAATCCATCCATCCCAAACCAGGAATTCTCGTATCCTACACGGGTCGGTGCCACACGACCCGCTTTCCTCGTTTTTTGATGGACCAAGTCAATCTCGTAAGGTCAAACCTTTGAAACGGCAAAAGTATGGACTATGATTTATTTGGGATTCCGAGAAAATATTCAAATTCCACCACATATCCAACTAGGAAATTAAAGACATACTCAACCCGTTTCTAAAACAAGTTCACAGTTGCTTTTCACAGTTATTAAGAATTTTACTGTTTTGAAATTGTTGAGACACTGTTTGGACATTATTTAACCGCAGATTATACGGTGCAATCGACGCACCATGAGGATGGTGCGCCCGGTTGCAAAACGACGCATCTTGACTCTCTCTCTTTTTTTTTTGCTTTTGTTGTTAAAAAATGATAATAACTTTTTTATTTTTGATCCGATTTTTATAAAATTTATATCAACATTTTTTATTTTTCATGATCTTTCAAATGAGACCAATATTGCTTATGTAATTTTAATAAATTATCGAACTATTATATTATTGAGTATTGGATTATAAGGAAAATCGAATCTGTTTGGGAGATGATAGGTTTGTGAAATAGAAGATCGAATCTGTTTGGGAGTGGATCAGTGGCCTCAGTTACATTTGATAATACATTGAGTTACATCTTTTTATGAGCGAGTTACATCTTTTTATAAGCAAGTTACATCTTTTTATAAGCAAGTTACATCTTTTTATAAGCAAGTTACATCTTTTTAAAAGCGGATTACATATATATAAACACGAGTTGCATTTGACATGCTTGAACGCGACTTACATATATTTACACGTAAAGTTACATATTTTTACACGTAAAGTTACATATTTATACACGCGAGTTACATATTTATACACACGAGTTGCATTTGACCTGTCTGAACGCGAGTTACATATTTTTTTACGTAAAGTTACATATTGTTACACGTAGAGATACATATTTATACACATGAGTTGCATTTGGCCTGACTGAACGTGAGTTACATATTTTAACACGTAAAGTTACATATTTTACACGCAAATGATAATATGTTAAAATTACATAGGCAATATTGGTCTCATTTGAAAGATCATGAAAAATAAAAAATGTTGATATAAATTTTATAAAAATCGGATCAAAAATAAAAAAGTTATTACCATTTTTTAAAAACAAAAGGAAAAAAAAACCGTACCGGTATACGGTGTTGCACTGTATAAGCACTCTTATTTGACATTATTTTGCAGTGTTTGGCATTGTTTTAATGTAGTTAATTTGCCAAATAAGGAAAGGAGAACTTAATTTGAGAACAACCCAAAAAGGCAATGGTGAACTTGTTTTAGAAACGGAGGGAGTATATGAAACTTTCTTCATATCCAAAAATGACAAGAGAAACTTTCTACACACTTAGTAGTCATTTTTCTCTCGGATCATCATTGAAGCTTTCTTCAAGCTTCAACTCACATTCCTCCAAGATTTGTATAATCTAATTTTTTTCCTAAATGTTTGTAAAGCTTTTCTATCATCAAATATACCTAGTACTACCCAGGGTGGAGCCAGGACACTGGACAGGACTGAACCGATACAAAGAATGTTTTTGAATTATTTACACTAAAAATATGTAGATATTTTTAAAATTTAGACTGGGCCAAGGCCAGGGTTGGCCACTACCTTCATCCCATATTGTTCTGCAAAATCAACATTTTTTGGTCAAATATTATAAAAGTTGAATCCGCCTTATTGATAATTAATTCAATTTTAATAATTAAAATTTACATATTCAGAAACTACATTAAAATCTCTACAAAGTTGCAAAATCTAAATTAAAGTTTAATTAATAATTCATGTCCTAATTAAGTGAATAAAATGAATCTTGTTTTATTCAAAAAGTCAATTTTTGTAATTCAAATTTGGATGGAGGAAGTATAAGATATTGGATCATCATAATACAACAAAAAAGAGTTGTGAAATATTGTTCAGAGATATGTGATGTGTTTTTAAGAGTTTTTAGTTAGAGCTTGTATGGTTAGTTCGTTCCTTTTATTCCCTACCACAAAGGAAGTATAAATAATTCATTTTTAGTTAGAGCTTGTATGGCTTGGATGGAGGAAGTATAAGATATTGGATCATATGCGTCTTCTTTCTATTTTTGAAAGTAATACAAATATTTTTCTGTCAGGTTAGTTCGTTCCTTTTATTCCCTACCACACTCCTCCATTTAATGAAGCAATCTTAATGTGCATAAACGTTAGATTAGAGGTAAATTCGTACAAATTTTACTTAAAAAAGCTTTAATAGCTAGTATTATCTCTGTTTTATGATTTATTACTATTTGCAGCTTCCCCAAAATAGAAAAGTGGTTAACTTGGTATGGTAATCTAAATAGAAATAATGCCCTCCCCATTACTACTACACTTTTGCATTCCAAAAGTAGGACCTTTTTAATATTTTCCACATAAGTGACTTGTTCTCATGATCTGCCGCTTCGTTGCCTCTCCTGCGTCCAATTGCTCATCGGTCAACTACCAGCGCCGACGTGCACCCTCTGCAGCCCGTCGCAGCCCCCCTAGCCAGAGCAGCTCACGAGTGCACCACGGTAAGTCATTGTCCCCGTCTCCTTATCTGATTCTCCCTTCTTCACCTCCTATTCCAATTGGTGGGCCAATAAATTTGGGGTCATGGAAATACATCTGAGTTCCTTCTGGCATGGCGAGCGACGTCGATTTCTGCCGAAGACGTCCGGCCTATTGCAATGGACGAGACCGTTTTTCAACAACCGTCTATGATGACTACCTACGACAGATCGGCGGTTCAGGTTCGAGCAGAGACTCAACAATGTTGGGATGGAGAATTAGGTTAGGTGAAGGCGCGATTGGGGACAGAGGCAACATGTAGGGAATGAGCGGACGATTTTGGGATGGTAATGGGGGTTGTGAGGCT